CGCATTTTTCTTTGTAGTATATCAGGATATTAGGTCCCCTTTGATCTGCACGCCCGCAATTGTATCTATTTACATTCCCCGTTATCGATTTATCGCTGGTTGCACTGAGTAAGGGAATTCATTTCTTTAATTTTGCAGTATCTGTATTGCCCTCCCAAGGCAGATTGGTTCATTATTCTAAATGGAGTCCCCGAAACGATGCCCACAGATATTACGTGGCGAGCGCAATATAGAAAGGAGGGTCGTATAACCGTGCTTCCCAGCAGTTACGCTGCAGTACCGGTGTTGAGACAACACATTTTCATATAATGGGAAGTGATATAAAGAGATAACTCGTCGTTAGGGGAAGTGTGAGAAATAAAACAGCCCATTCGTTGTATTTAGTATAAATGATGCTGTACAAGAAGAAGGAGTCATCCTCGCTCAGTACTATCACTAGAGTGGACCGAGAAGGTGGATAAATATGCGATTTAACTGCTAGGGTCCCAGAACAAAGGATCAGTAATACAAGAGATTAGTTGCTGTGTACGTACGACGTCCAATGATGGAAGATGGATAGCACAACTCCTGTCCCTACTCTTGCTGGGCATGCGTGTGAAGGTTAGCTGTGGCAGGATACACCAAGATGTTGTGGTACAGTGAGGATGGGCAACCGGTGCTTTCTGTTCAGAATGGGTAACGTCAAAACATGTTCATCAAAGAGTTTCTGAGGGAGTAAAAGGACCAAAAGTCAGTATTGCATTTTATTTATCACTCCACTCGTGTGGGTCCGCATCCAGTTGTGGCATCTTAGGCCGAAACCCTCGATCCAGCTTTGCTACATTACGCTGTCAACTGCGTGCACAAAAGCTATGCTCAAGTTTTGAGAGGCGCCGTCGATGCTTGGCTCGGCAGGGATCTCTACCATTTCCAGATCAGGAGCACAAACTGAGGAGCAATGGCACGACAACGCCCTTGTCGCTAAGACTGTAAGTTGAGACCTCCTTCTTGCTTTTCTCTAATGCTGCAACCTGGAGCTTACAATAACCTGTGCACACAAACTCGCCGCTTCTAATAACAACGGATAGCTTGTTCTCGTTGTTCCACTCCTCAGCGTCCTGAAGGATGGTTTTTTGATGCAAGCAAAAACGCCGTCTTTGGCGTTCGGTGTGTATACATCCTTGACCTTGGGAACTTCCAGATTCAATAGGTCCTTGAATTTAGGAGGCTCGCTTTGTTCATTACCACTATTGGTCCGCATTTCCGACTTTTGCAATTCCGTCAATGTAGACCTGTAGGGTATGAGAACCAAGCGAAGGAGGGCGCCGCTCCCAAACGACTAATCAGCATCCATTCCTACAGCAGCCTTACCAATGCGATGATCCAGCCCGACAGCCTAGCAAGAATGGGGTTGCAAAGGCGAGGACTCCCAGCTCTGTGAAGCAGTAATGATGAGCCACTGACACCTGGCGGACGAGATGCTGCAAGTCCAGGGTTGGATAGTCGCCCCTCATGGCTACCGTGATGCCCGTATTGACCAAGGCCCTAGGGGAGTGCACGTAGCTGCGGAGGGCTTCTTTCTTGAATTCAAACTTGTTGGCAAACGCTGCGACCGCTGGAACTCTTTGTAGACGCGTTTGAGAATCGCTAGGGCACAATAGGCATTTAGCCGCGATAAAACGTCCTGATCTTGAGCTCGTTCAAGTGACGCACTATGACCTCGATGTCGTAGGGTTCGTAGTACTGGATGTTGGGTCTAACATCGTCCCGAATGATAGAGGGATAGAGATTAGTGCCTCGCATTGGAGATCCTCCGGAAAGGTACGTTTAGGCGATGGTGACTGAACCGAGGCGGGTGCTCAGCAACATTCCGTCAGTCATCCTGCTCGCACTTTAGCTCTGTAGCCTCGGTAAATCGCTGATGGAAGATTCATCCCTTGCCAAGCAGTCTCGTAGGCATACCGTCTTTTGACGTTCTCTCCACAGGCCACCTTTCCGTGCCGCTATTTGTTCTCGACCCCGGCCCCGACCAGCATATCCTCCGTACTGAAGATAGCGACTTTTTTTAACTTGAAAGTATACGCCATTTCCCCCACGACATTTCCGGACCCAGATAGAATCAAGGTACTCGTTACTCCTCCTGAAATGATTTTCTCTCTGGCCACGTCGCTCGGATTAGAGCAGTCGATCGCGCGAACAAAAAATACGGTCTGGCTAATCACCTCGTTAAAGCAGTTGGTGGCATTTAGTATTGGCCAAGAGAAAACGCCAATATGGCTCCAGGATTGAGATAAAACGAAAAACATGGCGGTGTTCAAGTAACGTGGTTTACAGGATGAAGGTCCCTCTTACCTGTACATATCAATAATACCTTTCCCTCCTCCCTCCGATCTGAACAGTGATACCGCGTCCAACCAGCACGCCGTCCTTGAATGATTCTAAGCTGTGGTGGGAAAATTCGTTGAGGGGACCAAGGAAGTAGAAAGTGATAGCAAGAAGGGGAATGGCCGCGGTGGTGAGCAGCATCGTGCTCTTGTCTTGTGGGACAGTGATGGGGAAGGTGCTGGTGGTCAGCCATAGCGAGGTTGGTGATGACAGGTATGACAGCAGACTCAGACACGGTGCTTTAAGCAAAAACGAATGAACTGAAGTAAGAAGTAAGACGAGAAAGAGAGAAGGAGGACGCGTTGAAGGATGAAAAAGACAAGTACCTTTTTTATGATAATAGCTTGCCTCTCGAGCCAATTGACTCTGCAAATCTATCGGATCTCACTAGCAATGATCTATGACAGTCGGAAGAAGTATCATTTTGAGGCTGACCGTGAGAATGTTGCACCATTTGGCAGTTGGATAGAAATAGGGGAATGGGTTACACCACCATGGGTGCACAGCAACAGCAAGGACGAGACGCTCCCAAAAGAAGAAGCCATCTACACTTTTTCTTTTTCCACTAGGAAGCACGTTGAGGGTAAGAGTCGTTGTCTTTTATCACAGTGACCAGTGCCATGCAATAATATGCTGTATATGATATATATATGATATACAATATGAATATTGTTCATGCGCATGTGCAATGCCTCTGTGCGTGTGTATCGATGAATGTCCTGTGCCTCTGTGTGTTGGTACGTATGGATACGTATGGGTTTATGCGCGCTACTCCACGGGCCCTAGTTGAGGCGATGATGGCCGTGGCGTCAGTAGTGAGCGACCCATGCTGCCAACGCTCACTTCGCTATCCTCACTCTGTTGAGGCCGTGCCCATGCATGACTGGTGGGTAATGGCGTCGTAACCGCAGACTCTATTCTCTCCTGATATCCCGATGCGTCTTGGTCTTGGCCTCGCTCCATCTCCGACCTTGGGCTCGATCGCAGATCTGCTGCCTGGTTATCCACCGATCTCAAGATAAGCGTCGATTGACTGGACCCTATCCCACCTACCACAGCCTGTTGAGGTACCAACGCCGCTACCCTTCCTCTAATGCCCCTATTTTGCGCCGCGGTTTGTGTCAATGCGACACTAACCAGTTTCCTGTACACCTTGTCGTTATACACGTCATGGACCCCGTCTCCAGGTGTGTTTCCGTATGGCACTACAAATAAATTAGGAAAGGATGAGTCGTCCACCTGGTAATTAGAATCTTAAGACACGCGCATATGACCACTTGCACAACACATACGAAACCAAAGCCACCAAGATGGGCCCATGATGCTCTTCCAGTTCTCTAGCCGAGAGCCACGATCCCATAAATGCTCACCGGGCTCCAGCTTGACTACGACGAATCCTGCTCCGGGTGGCGAAATGTGTGCTGGATCTGGTTTGGCGTACTGAACTCTGACGAATGTCGACCTTGCATCCTGCAGCGACTCAATTGTTGTCCGATTTTGCAAGATATACACCGTATGGGCTCCAGTGAACGAAACAATCAGCAGAGCCAGTAGAAAGGCCACCAAAGTTACAAATGCCCAGTGTCTATCAAACACGCAGCGTGTCTGCTGCCCTTCCTCTTGCTGCGACTGGTTCAATGGACTGCTCCATTCACATCGCCGGATGGCTGTCACAAGGAACGGGATCATGGTCGCGACGACCCAAATGGACACCACAGAGGCGTAAAGAATAAAGAGATAAAAAAACTTGTGATTGTTGTAGCCAATGCAGTTTCCGACCCACGGGCAATGATGATCCATCCTGAGCACGCACTTGTCGCATTCTGAACAGTGGTGGCAGCGGTCTGGCTTGCCAATCTTGCAAATATCGCACCAACGACGACGCCCGTCCCGCTTAGCGATGCTCAGGGTCGCAATGGGCTGCTCCACGTGCCTTTGTAGACTTGTCTGTCCTGTACACTGTTCTATCTCAATCCTGACTGTGTCATTCCCATTAATGCTGCCGCCAAACGTCTCCATCAAGCCGGCACTCAACCCTCCCTTTTGCTCCGAGGCCGAAAGTGCGATTGATGTTGTCGGAGGACTGATGCGTTGCGATGTTGCTTGGTATTGAGAGAGAGGGGAGCCAGCCGTAGCTGGAGTATATTGGAGCAAAGGTGTGGTATCTGAAGGATGCGAATTCGTGCTGTGGCCCCCGCTAACTGCTCTGATACCCTCTACTGGAAGTAACTTTGGGGTTCTCTGTGGTTGATAAAGGGTTGTTGTAGGCGGAATAGGAGCCAAGGGGCTCCTTTGTGGCGGCTATAAAGATCGTTGTTGTTCAAATGACGGCAGTCAAATCAAGATGAGGCGAGATTAGAGTCCAGTTCCTGAGAGACGACGCGGCGCACCCCGATTAGCGTTGACATGCCTTTAACGGAGATCCTGGTCCATGAAAGATGCAGCGGATATATGAGATAAAAAATATCGCCGACAACGTGTCGATGACGATTAAGTATACAGCTACAGACACCGTACAAGAAACGCAAATAATCGGTTAAACTTTAACAATCTTCATCAGCGTGGAGTGCTCCATATTTCCCAGTTGCTTCTCGCGTTGCATCCTCATCTCGATAAATCTTTGCATTGGATCTAGTCTCCTATACCTGCTTGTATGATACGTTGCTGCACATGGAGGATATAATCGACTATTTGCAAGAACAAAGCGAGGGTCAGATAAAGAGCGTCAACTCTCATTGCTCGTAAACAAATCGACAGGCAGGAAAGGAAGGGTTTCGGCTTACTGCAGACACGGAAAGTGTACACATAGTAGATGTAGCCCATGACTACGGCCAGGCCCAGTGGCATTAGTCGCTGCAGTATGTTCCAGAACATGTTATAGACCGAAAAGCATAGGGACGAGGAGCACCCCGTTGATGATGGGTCGTCAGCGCTCCCCTGTGCAGTCGTGTTGGTGGTGGCGTTAGTCGAGTCCCCTGCAGCTAACGCTACTGCGCGCTGCGCTGCTGCGACGGCGGTCATGTTCTGTGCAGAAGACGGTGCGACGGTTGCCAATGCTGAGGGATGGATCCTGTATCCGTCCACGGTCAATGCCACTGCCGAGGATCCTGTTCCTGCATCCGCAATTATTGTACCTACTGCACCCCCTGTACTAGTGACGTTTGTTACAGCAGTCGTGCTTGTTCCGTTCCTGTTCCTGTTCCTGTTCGTGTCCGCGGTCGTGTATACAGTGGTGGCAGCAACCGCAGCGGTTCCGTGGCCTTGTTGCAGATTTCCCTGCTGGTCAGTGATTGTCATAGGTGAAGGACGTTACTATGACTAGACACTTCTGGGAGACATGAAAGAGGAATGGAAAATGGGGATGGTGCGATGCTGATCGATAGATGGCCGTGCGGCGTCGCCCTCACTAAACCTGTCTCATCCAAACTTTATACTCTCATATCTCGCACCCTCAAATTTATTTATTCTGCAGGAACAGGGAACCAACATAGTAGCACCCGGCCTATCCTCCATGCAACGTCGAGATGAAGACAATCTCATCCCGATCCTGCAGCTCATACTCAAGCTCGCCTTCAAGCTCCCAATCCGCCCCATTGATGAGAACCAGGATCCCGGATCGGCTATGGAAGTGAAAGTAGAGATGGATAGAGAGTGAACACAGTAGTATCAGTCGTAGGGTTTCTGATAGACACATTGACAAGTCCCTTCCTTCTTTGCCCCTTTCATCCCTTACACTGAGCCATCGTCTCCGATAAATAGCTCCGGTCGCTCCTTCAGCAGTGTTCTACTGATCCACGGAATCAGGTCCCTGATTCTTGTTGCATGTCGTTCCTCAGCCGTACTCACGTCCTCAATCCCTGACTCGAGAGGGAAGTGTGCTGGCACTCTAGTTTGAATCGACTTTTGATTGCCAAACAGCAACTCCATCCCACCACTAACAAAAGACGTTTGTTTGTTCGAATCAGTTCATGCATTATTGCATCTGTTCTCCATGTCTCCTTCTTCAATAGACATGCAGCAAGAGATCTGCTACCTGAACTGCAACTCGATTCTTAACGTGTTCATGATGAATAGGCTTGCTTTGTTTTGTGATTATGATAAAGAGAAAGAAAAGAAGTGACACACTACTACTGTCGAAGGCGGTTCCCGCTCTTGAAAAAGACAAATGTGACGGAACCATGGTCAATTTCTTGTACCTCTTGCTCCTGCATTTCCTTGTCGATGGCACCCTGTTCACTGCCCATAATCGTGCTCCACAAAACCTTGTCTTTGTTCGCCAGTTCATCAAGTCCTGGATCAATTTCTCCTCCGCCTTCACCTCCGGGCCTCTCTGACCAGAACGCTGTCCTCCATACCTGGACATCAACGTGCGCCCACTCGTCCAGCTCCTTCTTGGCCAATAATGCGGATGCCTTGTCCATGATCCCACTTCGGCCTTGGCCTGGCGCTGCACGCAAGTCTCGTGTACTTTCATCAATTGCCTCTAAATCGGCTGAAAGACGACGCTCCAAACCGGCACCGCACTTGCATCCCAACAAAGAATGGGTTTGACAAGATTCGTCCTCGTGCAACGTAAATAGGTCCCTGAGCTCTGTCATTGAAAACTTGTTCACGTTCTCTGTCGCCTTGCCATCCTTTGAAAAAAATGTCGAAATGAGAATCATATATCACATCGTAAAGCTGCTTTGGCATAGCAGGGAATTGAAAAGTAAAAAAAAAAAAAAAAAAAAAGTTACCATGAGTGCATCGCTTAGCCCAACCTTGGTGAGTTGACGCTGGTACATCTTTTCTTCAATGGTGCCAGATCTATATACCGCGATAATAAAAGAATACTGCTTAGGTAGGTGACGACCACTGAGCCATTACAGTACTTTAACTTACGACAGAAGGCGGTATATGAAGACAGGCCTAGTTTGACCATCTCGGTGGATACGCGCCATGGCTTGAAGGTCTGTGCTCGGGTTCCTGTGTAGATGGGTCGTAATATGAAAATATGTGAACTAATACCCGAGTATCACCGTTGTCTGTCGTTGATGTACAGTTTCTTGTCGCAGCTTCATACCAGTCAATATCAAAAAGGATCTAACAAAGAGTCATAGACCGAGAGACGAGATTTTAGAGAGTGCAGCATAGCAGACGTTCTAAAAGTCGAACATGGCACCGTTTACAGTGACCTACCAGTCGTGATGCTCCCACTAGATTGAGACCCACACCGCCAGACTTTGCACTCAATAAGAAAATAACTAACCGGCAGGACGAAGGCCAGATTAGTAGTAGATTAAGAGGGTCATCCTTCTATACATCTACCCTAGATGCTTACATTTTTGACACGAAGGCGCGTTGAACTTGTCCACGAACTCTTGGCGCTTCTGCGTGGGAGTAGAGCTATCATTTGTGAAAGTAATTGAGAATGAATGAGTGAAGAAAAGAACGAAGAGAGAGAGAAAGAGAAAGAGAGAGTGAGAGAGAGCACTTGGAACGCTGCAGGATGGTAGCCCTTGCGAATTTTACCCATCCAAGCGGAGGAGTCCGTATTGCCGACTGGTACAGATCGCCTCCAAGATATCCAGGGTTTGTGTAAAGTTGGACACAAGAACCACGCGTTCGGTTGTATCCATCTTAATCGACTCGAGCAGTGCAACCACAAAACTCAGTTTACCTAAGCTCCAAATGAATAAGAAGAATCATAGGGATGGTTAAAGAATACCAAATGAATGTTGCTCGTCTTCAATATCGACGTATTACCTCCTATGGCAGAGCTGTCCAAGTCTGCACCATTGAACGGGAGCAATGAGCTCACGCTGCTGTAGAGTTCTTGCATCTCAGAATCTCCCTTTGCCTAACAAACCGCCGTGTTGTCAGTGCAACCATCTCTATTCTTCAAACATTATAAGTACTATCGACATTTAGACGCTTCTACCTGATCGGAAACCAGCTTAGGAGAGTTGCATAATTTTCTCAAAGCCAATATGCAGGTGAGATAACGGCTGGTGTCCGTTGAGAAGCAGCTCTGCAGATACGGCGAATCCAGCATGCGGCGATATATGGCGCGCTGCAAGGGCGAAGGCCGACAAAAGATAACAAATTCAGCTATGATAGGCACGAGTTGAAGGTACGATGAGTTGTCGGTCTAGCCAGGGAGCCAGACCACCAGGTAGACATCAGATCGAAAGGATCATCGATTCATGGTACATTTCTCAGGCAAGAACTCGTAGATAACTTGAGCAGTACGTCGTAATATGAACTGCGATGTTAAACGTGACAGCTAGATGGAGAATCATGTCGAAGAAATTCAGTATCGAATCAATCTTATAACGGAAGCCCAGGTTGTTTTTAAAGACATATCCTCAGCAACGCGATACCTCCTGAGATCTACGCAGAAATAGAGGGAAACCAATAAGACGCATCAATTTCAATTGAGCTGTGCAAAATACAGCCACAGGTCAACAAGAAAGGGCTACCTAGGTACCTCTCAAGGCCTAATGCAGCTTCTAAGCGGGAGCAGTCGGGTTGTCTGGACCTAACGATAGGATCCTCGAATATTCTCTTGAAAGAACTGTAGCTGTCGAACAATCCAGGGTTGACGAAATCAATCATGGAAAAGAATTCACTCAAATCGTTCTGAATTGGTGTACCGCTCAAAATGATTCTGCGCTTTGTAGGCAAGGAGCGAATCGCCTGAGCAGTTTTGATGTTTGCCGTCTTCAATCTATGCATTAAAAGACATTTTAACGCCAAGTCCATTATTCACACAGTGCTTTGCGCGTTCAAGTATTCATACTGGCACTGACCTATGTCCTTCGTCACAAATGATGATATCAAAGTTGGCATTCTTGAGCTCGTCTTGCACCGCTCTTAGCTAGCACATGAAATTGATGGGCTGAAATAAGACAAAGCTATCAAAACATAACTGCTACTTCAATGCGTTCTTTCGTTTCTGGAGCCTCCCATACCTTTTCATATCCTATGATCATTACAGGATAAACCTTTCCCAGCGTAAAGTCGGTCATAGTCGACTTTGAATCGACAGCAAAGACACGCAGACGCTCCACTCCAAGCCATTTCTTGAACTCTTTTTTCCAGTTCTATAAATTGGAGTGATAAGTATTGTTTAGAGTTCTTTGTTTATACCCAAATAGCATCGCTATTTGTCAGCAGTCGCTCCTACTTGTATAAGAGTTGCAGGGCAAACCACGAGCGCCCTCTTGACAACGGATGACTCTTCACTGGAATATGGGCTCTGTTTGAGAAGTGTCCACAGCAGGGCAATCGTCTGGAGCGTTTTGCCCAAGCCCATTTCGTCTGCCAGGATAGCACCTTGGCCATTGATACTCTTCATTTGCATCATACATTCATAAAGAAAGCGGACCCCTTCTTTTTGGTGTGGACGCAGATGCTGTGCCAGTATGGGGTCAACAACTACATCCACCAGTCCCACCTTGCCTGAAGGTCGTTTGGTGTCCCAGTTTCCCGCGACCCGTGGATGTGTGCTAGATGGGCGCGGTAAAATGGTCGCGTTGGGGGCATCCGGGTTATGGCGCGGCTGTGGGAGTACGGATGGGGTGTCAGATCTACTGCTGAGCAGAGGGTGTGTCTTGAATTTTTTCGTGGACGTAACTAGTTTACTTTCTAGTGTAGTGTTGCATTGTACAACGCGTTTCTTTAGAAGATGTAATAAGACGGACGCAGGGAGATTACACAGCAGTCAGATCACTTCTATACTTGATGATGGAACTTCCTCTGCTGAGGAAACACTGGCCATAAAGCATCGTCCAGTGCGATAACTTGACGGCACAAGATTCGACACAATCTATACAACAAAACGTTCGATTTCACCGACTCCATTAGGGTCAAGGTTCTGGCAGCCTGGATGAATATGTGCATTGCCTTTCTCAGTCCTTTACCTCAATGTCTTTTCCGCCGAAGGAAATTTCATCCCCTGATTTGAGTTCCGAGGCTGTGGCCTTGATTCCCTTGGCGATACTATTTAGTGGCAATTATGATCAATTAAAGTACAGGAAGCAAGTAGAAAAAACATAGGCAATGGACAGTGCATTCTTACTCTTTCCCTTCCATGTCTTTCAGCAGACCACTGGACCCATTGAACACAAGTATTCCTAGATTGGTTTGCAATTTTATTATCAGGTCCTCGAACAGGACAGAAACATGAAAAAACCCCTACAGGCGCACAGCACATACCGTCACCATCCCATGTCTTGTGCTTCTTGTAAGTTTTTTTCCTCCTAGAGTCGATAATTAGATCAATTACATTCATCAACTCTTCAAAGCGAGGGCAGGCATCGGAAGCGGTAACAGAAGCGGGGCTTTACCGCTATTCTTGCTACGTTACTTACCAAAGAACATTGAAGCACAGTTCCTCCGCGCTGCTTGAAGTTGCTGTAGTGGCGCTAAAAGATGGCGTCTTGAATGAGGCGGTGGAGTATGTTCTAGGCTTTGGGAGGAGGGATTTTGATGAAGAAGAGGCAGTAATAACCTCCGATGTATTGTCTCCCACAAGTTTGATGTGCTTAGCGATAGTTGACCCTGACAACTCGGACGCCCGCTTGTTCAGCCTTTGGGCGTTGTTTACAGCCACCATGGGAGAGGACGCGAAAGTGGGCGAATGCATAATTCCTCCTCCTTGAGGCTCCTGAGTTGACGATAAGTCGAATCGTAATGGAGATTTGAACTGGCTTGCCTTACTGGTCGCGAGAGGTGGTTTGAAGAGCCGCATAGGCCGGCTGCTGAAAGAAGTTCTGGAGCCGGTGCTAGGGCCGTGGCCGATTGCCACCAATCCTGGTTCTTCAGGTCTCTTTCCGTCCTTGCGCTCCACAGGGTTGTCCTGACTTTTCTCCTGTCGTACTGTCTTATCTGTGTCCAGAAGAGCCGAGTGGAGGCTTGTTCTGCCGGTCTGGGAGGGAGCGGCGTTACGCTGCATGAGTGATCTCTGAATAGAGGAATGGGATGAGGAGGACGAGTTCTCAAAGATGTTGATGCAAAGTGAAAGGGACGATAAAAAAATCTCCTTGATTTTTATTTCGGTAACTTGCATCCTCATTGCTTTTGCAGGCATACAACTAACTGCACGTCTTCAACGCGAAATGTGCCTCTATGATTTTGGTCTCCAGCTGTGCGATGCGCGCATTCTGTTCGGCCTCCTTAATGAGAAACCCGTTCTTCTCCGTCTCAAGGACTGCGATCCTTGTGTTCAACCCGTGGTTGGTCGTCTCCAGCTCGGCCACCTTAGTCTCCAGTTCCTTCAGCCTGATCAGCTTCTTGAGACGTGACCGGCGAGCCGCATCGGTGTTCTTGACACGCTTGGCCAATACCTCGTCCGACTCTTCTTCCTCGGCTGCATGGGGGCGCTTGCTCGTGTTATTGGTCTTTATCGCGCTTGAGGGCGACTGCAGAGACACGCTCCGGTTCAATGGAGACATAGAAGGAATCTTTGTCTGCTCCAGAACGGCCCTTTCGAGTTCCTCGCTCCAGGGAATGTTGAGAACTGCAGCAGCCTGCTGCAGCTTAGTGGTCGTCAACCCCAGTGGCACGGCCTTCTCGACGGGACCAAGGCCCAAATCCTCTGCAGTTAGGCTCTGGGAACCATAGGAGAGTGGCTGGGACGAAGTTGGGTATCTGAAGAGTGGTGATGTCGCAGAAGAATTGAGAGGTGATTCGTCGCCGTATAGCAAAGCACCGTATTGGATATCGCTCGCGAGCCATTCGTCAAAGCCCTTGCCTGCATTGAGGAGACCTGGAGCGACGACTCTGTTCTCAATTGAGGCAGCAAGCTTGCCGACTGCAGAGATATCCCGTAGGAGTGAAAGGATATACGGTATGAATAAAATGGTGCATGCATACATCGAACACACATACAACAAAAAAAAAAGGTATACGAGGTATACTTACACTGCGCCAGTGCCGAGTCCAGTGTGTCAGCAGACTGGGTCAGCCGAGGGTTGCTGGTTGCTAGTAAGGAGGGCGTGTTTGGGATAGTCATGGGATTATTCGACGGACGAACGATGGTGTTCATTGGAGGATGAATGGTTCAGATGTGGGACCGATAAGGATGGTAGTTTCGATGGTGGCGCGTACGGATAAGTGTCTTTGGTAGTGTCTTCTATAGATGTAGGTGTGGGTGGAAGTGGGCTGGTATGTCCGGATCATGGTGGGATAGCTGTTGTTTGCACAGACAACGTCAATGAGAGCGGGATAATGGGCTAACAAGAGTTAAGCTTTTTAGGCAGGGCAAAATGTTTTTTCTAAATGGTGCTGTCTTTGTGGAGAAGGGGGAGGTTCTTGTTAGGCTTGGAACACAGGGGCGAGTTATGAAGAGAAGGGGGCCATGGTGGGAAATGTTAAGGTACTGGTCAGGTTCGAGTTGATAATGAAAAGAAGAAAGCTGAAGTTAAAGATGGTGCTTAGTGGTGTGAAGATGGGTAAAAAAGAAAAGCATACAAATGTTATTGACGAATGAAAGAAAGACGAAGAGAAAAAAAAAGAGGGAGCAAGGGTTGTCTTTATATCCGGAGAGTGTGTGGAGTTCGACAAAACAAGTTAACCAGCGGGCAGCAGCGTGTCTGCATAACTCGTGAGTCACTCTCTGTCAAGACCCAAGGTGTGTCACAGCCACTGCTGCCAGCGCGAGAAGAGATAAGGATACAAAATGAAGAAAGTGAGCCTCTGAGCTTCGCATTGATGCCGAATAAAATGAAAAGGGATACCGTGGTGGCCAGGAATCATGAAATAACAACAACCATCCGGAAATCCTTTGCCGCGTCATTTCCCGTAGAAAGTGTAAAATCGAGCTATGGCCTAAATAATAGGGATAATCTACAATGGCAACCTGGGCTGTCAGTCATATTCGACAACCCTTACAGGAAATCCATGTACAGCCACCTAACAAAACTAATTAGCGAATTTAAATTTTTTCTAACCATGAGCAAATAAATACATCTTTTCTTCAGCACGACTTTTCTTCTCCAAGCACAATCAACAGCAGCTTGAGTAACCGCCATGGAAGATAGTGCCCCAGTGCACAGCTGCGCGCTGCCAAAGGATTAGCGCCAAGTACACGGCGTTCGCAAGATAGAGGACTGGCCAGACGACTCCCCAGAATTGGACCCCATCGACCATGTCTGGTCCTTCCTTGGCACCTCTCTCAATCGACGACAAAGACAACCTCGGGACATTGAAACACTGGTAAGAGCTCTAGTGGAGAAGTGGAATGCTTCTATCGCAAGAACAGCTGGCAAGGCTGGTCGATACGATGCTCCAAAGAGTGGAATTCGTGAAAAAGCACACTGGTGGTAATGGCAGATATTGAACGAGCCGCAGCCCTTTCCTTCAGGATTCACCACCCTGACATTCACCATGGATGTTTCCCAAGAGCTCCTCTCGACAGATATGAAAATTTCCATAGCGACTGCATAACTCTTTAGGTGTGTTGTATATAGGTAATTTGAAAAAGAATGCGCAAAAGCATGGGTAAAACTTAATTAGTTTTGTAAGGTGACTGTACAATACTTGAGTGTGAAGGACACTCAGGAAAGGTATTACTTAGGCTACAGGCTCAATTTTCAGGGTAAACGATATACATAGATTTCCGCATCGGTTGTCGAATAAGACTGGCAGCCCACCCTGTAATTTTTATGACTCCTGTAAACGGCTCCAGGCACCGGAACCACGCTTTTTAACAACAAAAAAAGTCGGTCCCATGAACTTTACCACCGACACTTCAGTCTGCTCCATTTACAACCCCAACTCATACGCGAAAGAAAGAAAATCCTGTTCTAAGGATCATTATGACAGCAAACAACTTTTATTTCTTTGCTTATAACACGGAGTGAGCTTACGGCACCCACCGTGCGCAAAGAGCCCAAAGGAATAAAAAAAAATGGAGCTCTGAAGTAGCGTGCTAATTCCATGTAACACAGAGTGGGTTGCCAAATACGTCAATCCAGAGCACGAGATGTTCATGACAAAAATGTTTGTACTCGGACTTGAACCGAGGACCGTCTGTGTGTTAGACAGACGTGATAACCAACTACACCATACAAACAGTTTCATTTTCTTGCAGCGGCCTACGGGCCTACATATGCCGCACACAGCCACATATCTCTAATTGCATACATCCTTATTTGCACATGCCCTTTATTTGCACGCCCTCTTCACCTGCACGACTGCTCCTTTTTACCACTGCACTATTTTTGTCCAGGCTGCGCCCAAACCTGGCCGGCTCCTGAACGCTCTCCATCTCATCTATACCCCGTTCGCGCTCTCCATCTACATTTACCCCTGAGTATTAGTCAGCGCGGCACCGACCCAGGCCCCGCTTCTAGTATAAAAACGCGATGCCTACCATGAAGAATAAAGCGGTTCCGAACACCCAGAGAAAGACATACTACCTTTTGCGACTTGATTGAAGTTTATTTCACTTGCCCCGTTTTCCCTCCTACCCTGACCTCTATCTACCTATCTAGCTACCTTACACCCCGCCCATCTACCTTACCCACCTTGCACTTATCTTGCCTACCCCATCCACCCCTTGCCTTCCCCTACAAGCCTACCCTATCTTGCCCCGACTCCGATTACCCGTAACATCTCTTTTTGGTGCTCATTGCAGGGATAAATTCCATTATCAATCCGAACAAGCTGCGTGCCATGAGCAACGATCCAAACCCAATAACCCCAACTTACCATGGGACGGTCATTCCGCCTCCTGTTTTCAACATTGATGATGACCCACTGGACTGGCTGGACGAGTTCGAGTGCGCCATCACCGCCAACAACTGGTCCGATACCCGTGCTCTTGCCATCGCGCCTATGCGTATGCATAAAGTCGCTCGCGCCTTGTTTTCCGACAAGAAATTCCCAACCTGGAAGGAATTCACCGAGGCTTTCCGCGAGCACTACCAGACCGAGGAGTACAAGAACCGTGCCTTCAATGCGGCCCAGAATTACCGCCAATCCGACAAGGAAAGTATCGACGTCGTAGTTGCCAAGATGCAGACCTTCTTCAGACGTGCTGACGTGACTGATGATGCGGTGAAGCGAAGGTTGTTCTCTAATTCTGTGAAAGAACACATCTTCAAAGAACTCTCGCGTAAGTCCGCGTCGACCTACGCCGACATGGTGAAGGTGGCTCGGCAGGAGGACCACATAGAGCAAGCCGCCATCGATAGACGGCGTGTGCCTGCCGAGTCCCTCCCTGTGTCGGCGGCGCCCGCCACAGCCAGTACTTGGCCTGCTGCCCCTGCGCAGCCTGAGCGCAGGCCGACTGGTCAAGACCTCGGAGTTGATGAGCTCATTTCGAAGATGAGCACCTTGTCGCTGAACCAAATCAATGCCGTCTTCAGTGCGTTTGGACAACTTCCTATTGCGAGACAAGGTCAGTCTCTTTCGGGCGGTGGTCGCGGTCCTGTTAACTGTTATCGATGCGGTAAGCCGGGACACATCTCTCGCAACTGTACGGAGTCACTTCCCAGCGGCAATAGAGATGCTCCTCCTGCTGGACAGGTTAACTGGATTGAAGTGGCGAATCAAGACGATGTCAACGCGGTCACCCGATCCCAAAGCAGAAATGCTGCCCGAACCGACGCCCATCCGTATCGTAGTGCGAATGCGGAGGTTCCTATGCAGCCCGTCAGACAGCCGCATCCTCCTGCGAACCATGGTGCTGTCGCACCGTCGAACGCCGGTGGAATGCAACCCCAAGCCCGAGCTCCGATTCCAATTCCGACTCCCGTTCCCGAGACGCCTGTCGGTGCAGGCCCTTCCAAGGTCAAGAAAACCCCCGTCAAGGTCAAGATTGCCGAGCCGACAAGCATGGACCTGGATTACGAGAAACCAACTAGAAAGCGCCTCGTGAGGAAGAAGGCTAACCCGAGGACGGCCCCCATCACGCTGGCTACCTTGCCTGGTGTGCAGCCCTATAGCATCCTCTCGGATATCATTACCACGCCCGTACACATGACGGTGGGCCAGGCCCTACTGTTCAAGGAGGTCCGAAAGGAGATGCTGAACAGTCTTAAGCCGGTCTCCCACACTGTCAGCCAGCTCCAGCCGATCACTGCCCCCGCTTCGTCGGCCCAAGTCAAGGTTACCATACATGGTCATGAAGTTTACGCCATCGCAGACACCGGAGCGTCGCTCTCAGTGATCACCCGAGGACTTGCTGAGTTCGTGGGCGCAAAGGCTGACCACCCGTACGACCAGATGATAATGACCGCGGATGGCAAAAAGCATGCACCTCTCGGCATGATTTCGTCGCTTCCAGTTTGCATTGACGACGTTGTAATGCCTGTTCCTG